GAGTAGATTTTCAAGGACATGAAGAAGAAACATTGGAGTTGTTAATGCAAATTGACATTTGCAGACAAGTTAGAAGGGTGGAGACAGAGTTGGAGGTGAAGAAACAAAGGTTCAAAGGTTCAAAGGAATTAAAAGGATTAACTTCGTTTGATGTCAAATTCAAGAGTGACAGGTAAAAGAGTAGGGGAAGAGATTTATCAATCATTTCAATATGAAGATCAAAGTAATTTCCTGGAATGTAAGGGGATTAAACGACAAGAAGAAAAGGGAGATCATAAAAAGTCAAGTGCAGAACTGGAGGGCAGACATTATATGCATGCAAGAGACAAAAGTGGAGGGGGAGATCAAGGAAATAGTCAATCAAATATGGGGTGGTAGATGGGTGAGGTATGCAAGTTTAGAAGCTAGCAGCACGAGGAGGGGATTTTGTTATTATGGGATTGCAGAGTATGGAAAGGGGAGGTGTTACAGACTGGTGCATACACTTTGACTTGCAAGTTCGAGGCTCTTTTACAGAATTTTCAATGTCACATAACAGGAGTGTATGCCCCAAATTGTAGAATAGAAAGGAAAATAGTATGGAGAGAAATTGGTGCAGTGAGGGGATTGATGGAAGGTCCTTGGGCGGTTTGTGGTGATTTTAACGTTACAAGGTACCCTTCTGAAAAACGGGAATGTTCAAGGAGGTCCAGAGCGATGGTGGAATTCTCGGATTTTATAGAAGATATGGAGTTGATAGATCTTCGACTTGAAGGAGGCTACTATACTTGGTTCAAAGGGGACAATCATACAACCGCTTCAAGAATTGATAGATTTCTCATTTCAGAAGAATGAGATGAAAGCTTCAGAAACATCAAGCAAACTATCCAACAAAGGCTGATTTCTGACCATTCACCTGTGGCTCTATACTGTGGTGCTTGGGAACAAGCTAAATCATACTTTAAGTTTGAAAATTGGTGGCTGAATGTGGATGGTTTTGATGACAGAATTAGAGACTTGGTGGACATCTTTTGAATTCTTTGGAAGACCAGATTACATTTTAGCTTGCAAGTTAAAAGCTCTCAAGGGCAAGCTAAAAGAATGGGGCAGAAGTTGTAAAGGTAATTTGGGATTGCAAAAATCAAAATTGCTGAGTCAACTCGCAGGTTTTGAGGCAACACAACAACTAAGAGCGTTGACAGAGTAGGAATCAATGAGGAAAGCAGCTACTCTAATGGAGATTGAGGAACAACTCAAGAATGAAGAAAGTGCATGGAGACAGAAATCAAGAGCTCTTAGTAAGGTAAGGTTCAACCCGGTTAGTGTTGCCTTGGTTCTATGCCTTTGGAAAAATATCCACACGGCTATGAGATTATATACCCTCATGAGACTTTGTCGGCAGCTACACCATGAATCCGTTACACGAGGCTGCCATCATAAGGCAATGTGCGGCGCAGAGGAGTGATTATATAGCCAAGGCATATGGGTAACAATACCGGTGCTATTGTCCCCCTTATTTGTATTTTTCCTAATTGTTGTATTTTCCTTTTCTTTTTATTAATAAAATCTAGCCCTAGGCGCTTGCCTAGCGGATTGACTAAAAAAAAAAGAGCTCTGTGGCTCAAAGAAGGGGACAGGAATACAAAATTTTTCCATCGTACTGCCAATGCACACAAGAGAAACAACAACATTGATCAACTATCGATTCGACATGAAGTAGTCGAGGATCCAGCCAGAATAGAGAACGAGATCATTGAATTCTACAAGGGGTTATACACAGAACCTGAAGAGTGGAGACCAACGGTCAATTTCGAAAATAGCCCAAGAATTTCTGAATCAGAGAGGGAATCTTTACAGAGTATCTTTGAGGAACAAGACGTTTTGAGCTGTCTGAAGATTTGTGCAAGTGACAAGGCCCCAGGTCCGGATGGATACACAATGGGTTTTTTCATAAAGTGTTGGGACATTTTGAAGGAAGACATCATGGAGGCCTTCAACAACTTCCATTCTCAGGAGATGTTTGAGAAAAGCTTCAATGCAACATATATAGCTTTGATTCCAAAGAAGACAGGTGCGAAAGAATTGAGAGATTTCAGACCGATCAGTCTGATAGGGAGCTTCTACAAACTGCTCTCAAAAGTCTTGACTGAAAGACTTAAGAGGGTGGTAGGGAAAATTGTCGATGCTCAACAAATGACTTTCATCAAAGGAAGACAAATAATAGATGCAGTGTTGATTGCCAACGAAGCTGTGGATTCAAGAATAAAAAAGAAAGAACCTGGAATCTTATGCAAATTAGATATTGAGAAGGCCTATGATCATGTAAATTGGAGCTTCCTACTCAGAATGTTAGAACTAATGGGTTTTGGGCAGAAATGGAATAGATGGATGAAATTTTGCATATCTACTGTAAAATTCTCCATTCTCATAAATGGATCTCCTAAAGGTTTTTTCCATTCACACAGAGGTCTAAGACAAGGTGATCCTTTATCTCCCTTTCTATTCATTATAGCCATGGAAGGATTGAACAACATGATCAAAACGGCTAAAGTCAGTGGATGGGTTAAAGGTTTTGAGGTAAACAGGAGTGGGGCAAACAATCTAGAGATCACACATCTCCAATATGCTGATGATACTCTAGTCTTCTGTGATGCCGAAAAGGACCAACTTAGATTCCTAAGAATCATTTTGGTCTTATTTGAGGGAGTCTCAGGATTACACATCAACTGGAGAAAGAGCAATATTTTCCCCATTAATGAAGTTAATAACATGGAGCAACTGACACAGATATTGGGAGGAGAAGTTGGGTCCCTACCAACTGTTTACCTTGGGATGCCTCTTGGTGCAAGATCCAAACCAAAAGAGATCTGGAATTCAGTCATAGAAAAGTGTGAGAAGAAGTTGTCAAAATGGAAATCGCAATACCTATCATTGGGGGCAGGCTAGTTCTAATCAACTCAGTATTAGACTCACTTCCTACTTATATGATGTCTTTGTTCCCAATTCCAGCCGGCATTTTACAGAGATTGGACAAACTACGAAGATCATTCCTTTGGCAAGGTAATAAGGAGAAAAAGGTCTTCCATTTAGTTAAATGGAAGACACTCACAATGGCTAAAAAACAAGGTGGTTTAGGAATAAGGAATTTGAAGAATCAAAGCAAGGCTCTTAGAATGAAATGGTTATGGAAGTACTCTCAAGAACCCCAATCTTTATGGGGCAAAGTGATCAAAGCTAAGTATGGTGAGGAAAATAACTGGGTGTCAAAAAAAGTTAGAACATCATATGGAGTAAGTGTGTGGAAATCCATCAAAAAACTTTGGCCTATAATGAAGAACCACTCCTCCATAAGAGTGAACAACTGAAGGAACACATCATTCTGGAATGATAATTGGTTAGGACACGGAAGCTTAAAGGAAAGATACCCCGATATGTTTGGTTTAGCACAAAACCAGCATAGGACAGTAGCTGATATGAGGAGTCATCAAGGATGGGAAATCGCTCTCAAGACAGTTGAATGACTGAGAGATAACAAGATTAGCTGACCTTTACAAAAAGCTGGAAACATTTAAAGGATTACAGGAAAGGTTTGATTCACTTTGCTGGCAGAGGCACAACAGAGGGGTTTACCGGGTGAAGGATGCATATAAGATTCTGAATCATAATAATCAACAGGTAGACCCATGGCCTTGGAAACATATATGGAAAACAAAAATTCCATACAAGGTAGCATGCTTCACTTGGCTACTAGCAAAGGAGGCGGTATTAACCCAGGATTATCTCATAAAAAGGGGAATTTCTCTATGTTCAAGATGTTTTCTATGTGGGGAAAATGCTGAAACTGTCACCCATTTATTTCTACATTGCAAGATTACAGACCAACTATGGAAAATCTTTATTAGTCTTAGGGTTATTTCATGGTCAATGCCATACAGGCTTAAAGATGTTCTTTATAGCTGGGAAGAAGCTGGAGCTGAAGCAACTAGTAGAGATAGATGGAGGATTGTACCGGCTTGTATATGGTGGACAGTTTGGAGGGAAAGGAACGCTAGATGTTTTGAAGATAGAAGCAATCCAGTGCAGAAGATCAAACTCAATTGTATTCTTCTTTTTTGTTTTTCGTGTAGACAGATTTACACAGAAGATACATTGACAATCGTAGACATACTAGGATCTTGCTAGGTCTCAAATCAGAACATCTACTAATCCTCTTCATGTAAATTTGGTTTTCAGTGCAACCTATGTACTGTTGTTTTTAATATATACAATAGTTACCAATTCAAAAAAAAGAATGTGACGAACAAGCATAACTTCTAAATGCTGGTACGGAAAGTATTTGTTGACAGTTCCAATAAGTATGAAAAATATTCAACAGGAAAAATTTTCTAAAATCTTATTCAGTTCAACTTACTAGAATAGCCAGGAACTTCAAAGAAATTGGAGTGTTTTGTTTCCACATGTTATACATCTCCCAATGGTGCTTTAACACTGATTGGTGCTGGTCCAGAGGTCTCCCTTATTTGGTTCATGTTATTGGTTGCTGCTTCTGATATGAAATAGAAGACTAACAAGAAAATATATAATATGTATGTACAAGCATCTCAATCCCTTCATCCTCTAATATTGAAAGTTGAGTATCCTGATAAAAGACTTTCCCTTAAGTTTCCTTACTCCCTTTCCATCTTACAAGCTGTACTTACAGCTTGATTTGACTGAGAAAAAGGTGTGGTTTACAGATTTTTTGATTTATTTGTTTATGTAGGTGAGGAGTGGTGTCACATTCCAAGCCTTTGCTTAACCCTATTGTTTTAATCCACATTGTGAAATTCTTTAAGCTAACTAAATGTCTAAAACAGCTGGCAAAATCGCATATCACTGAAAATATCAGTTATCACTTCTTCTTTATTTCATTTCTAATTCATCTCTCTCTCTCTCTCTGTTTCTGGAATCTGCTTTTCCTTGTAGTGTTTACCTCATCTATTCAGAATGAAAGCCTCCACTTACCCTTTTGTCTTTTGCAGGTTAAGACAATAAAATTTATTACTGGACACTCAAATGGTTTAGCTATGCAGATTTCGAATAGATGTGTCTGACTCACCACTTATGAGAATGATGTCCACAAGAAAGGCCAGTAGATTGATTAAACACTCCCATAAAGTAAGTCTTCCTCATGCTTCCTATGTGACTGTATACTAGTAAGAAGCCAATTGTGAACATCTGCATACTCTTCAATGTGCTTTACTTCAGAGGAGACTACATGATGTCGTTCTTGTTTTAGTCCATGAATGCAGGAAATTTTTGGGGTCGAATTAAAGTAGGTCTCCTGTTTCAGTTTGACACTCATTAAACAGCTTAATAATGCAAATCTAGTTACATCCCGCTCCTTGAATAACATAATCTAACCCACTTCATTTGAATTCTTAGCGTTCCTTCACTTTAGTGTACCACCTACTCTATCAAAGTTCACAGACTGTAGGTAAGCTGTGGACAATATACGAATGCTTTACCACAGCATAATGGTTATTTTTATTTATATATCTGTTTATTTTGGTCTGGAACAGTTATCTATCCATGTTCCATTTCTTATTCATCTAATTATCGTTAACAGGAAGGAGAAAGTGCTTAGGCAGAGGGCCCCCTGACTTATATGCATTGTCTGGGAGCAGTTCAAGGCTAAACATATGGGTTTGGACCTATTAATGTGATGAGCCCTCAATCGATCAATAGTTGTTCCTCCTTCATCACCCAAATCTCCTATTTATGCATGAACATTAGCAAAGGTATATCACTGGAATTTTAGCATTTAACCTTACCACAACAGAACAGTTTTACCCTCACTTGTTTAAACAGCCTAACCGACAAACCATGCAGCCTTTATAGTAGCAACCAGTAAAAATTTGCATCAGGACTTGCCGGAGAGGCCATTGGCACCTGCTTATTACTTATTAACCTCTCCCTCTGTTTACCATTAGAGTGTTTTTTGGGTTATTTCATCCTAAGTTGCTACTATAAGCATAACCAGATATGCAGCGCAGTAATTCTTGTTCTGTTTTTGCTGATGAAGAACTCAAACGAGAATTTTATATTCAGCCTTCAAGATCCGCTACTTGAAGAAACCAATGTGTAAGGTAGTGTACATCCATTTCAGTTTCATCTATAATGCCAATTTGCAGATCACATGATAATGAACATGCAGAATAACTTAGGGCTCTTAGCATAAGTCAAGCAGTCTGTCAAATGAACATTCAGTTAAGACACATACTTACCTAGGGAATCTTTAAGAACTTGTGTCAGCTTGCTATTCCTGTAAACAGTGAACACTCGGATCAGGATTAGTTTTGAGTTAATGATGAAACTTCTATGATTAAGCGCCACCTTCAGCAATTACTGAATCTATCAGCTTGGATTCTCATTCAATTGATTCCTTGAGTCAGGAATAGGTATCTAATACCATGTTTGTTGACTTACCTGTAAGGAATGTGGCGCCTTTTACTTTGGAGAGCGTGGATGACATCTCCGAGGGAAGAAAGTGAAAGATTAATTGCTTTTCCTTCTTCAAATCTTCTCCCCAGTGCTTTTGTTTTTAGGACACGTTCACTTCCTCCAAGGTCGATCATCCACAGTTTGTTTGTTAACCTTCTCCGTTCGCTGGCACTTAAACTGGAAACTGATATGCGAATCATGCTGTATGGAGCGGACAGAGAATCTATTTAGATTTTTTTGTAATTGATGTAATTTGTTCATTGATGGCATCAAGAAGATGCAGTAGTACAAAAGATAATACAACAAAAAAATTGAGTCAGCTCTAATACAACAAAAGGCTAATCTAAGACCAAGGTGCTGACAATGTTCAAGAAGTTAAGAATCTATTTAGAGTTTAGAAACCTTTGCGATTTGCAATCTAGATTTTTTAGAGTTATCTTCCAACACCTGGAGCAAATTCAAGATAGCCACATAGACATATCTTTATCAGGTTCATTTTATCAGTCATTTAGCTGGCCTTAAAACGAATTAAATACCTTTCTACTTAACATTTTTGTATCAAAATGAATTGATTTACCAGTGAGATCTGCTTGATGTTCGGTTGGAATTTGTTGAAGCAGTGGATCTGAAACCACATCCTAACTTGTACAGTCTCATGGCTTGGTTGAAGTCATTTACTTGGATGGTCACAAGGTTTTCAATCTCGATTTCTCCATTGGGATGTGTTTGAATTGAGAGACTGCATGTAGAAAAGTTGCTTTAAATGAGAAAGCTCTAACCTCTCCTCGAAAGTAGGAAGTGGATGAAAATTTAAGTATTGATCATCAATTAACCTGATCGTTCATAGTAAATGTGTATCTGATCATCTGAGGTTTCGATATATGAACATGGTCTGGAACATTTTCTTAGTGAGCATTTATGAAAACCTGCCATTCTGAATGGCTTAACTTCATGTTTTAATAGTATCAGATTAGGTAACTGAAACATTTTCTAAGATGTCTATGCATGTGGATTCATTCAAGTTATCAATAAATAAGCATAAGATCATTCTGGAGTTCTTATTGTATCATTACTTGCTGAACAGGACCAGGCCATCAAAATAGATAGTTCAATCAGAAAAGCATGCAAGCTGTGCAACCTTACAGCAGATTACCAGGTTAGTTCTGTGACTTACCATGGTGGTAAAGGGAACATTGACTTTGTTGTCTGACTATGAGGAATGAGGAGATCTTTTAGATATCCCATGTATATTTCCAGCATACTGAAGCTGAAGAGGAATGCATGGTTACTGTCTGCTGCATGCTTAAAGAGTGCCTCAATCGCACGGGGCACAACCCCTGGAAGCTCCTCCGTGCCTTCCTGGCAGGTATAGTTACCAAAATCATCATACTTAGAAAATGCAACAGTATGCTTTCTGAAATTTTATACTGGACTCTCGAGATATCACTTGTTAATTTTCCTCTCCGTTTCTCATTTAACTTTGTGCTAGAAGTTGAGTAAAATCCTAAGGGGTTTTCCGTGTATGGTTTGGTTATACAGAGATTATAATGCATGGATTGTTTATGTGTGGAAAATAATTTAGACATTCTTATCTGATGAATAACAGTCCAGGGATTGCTATATGTTGAATACTAGTACATAGCTTGTGACATAGGGATTGCCTAGTTTATAAGGGTATTTTTGTTTTCAGATACTTTTATCCATGTATTCTAATTCTACCTTCTATCTATATATAAATTAATATATAGATTCCCGTATAAGTTATATCATAGTTTCTAATACGACATATGGTTTCCGAGATTAAGCTCCACATAGCTTTGCAGAGTTCACTACCGAAACCAAACGCTCTATTAGTCATACAGAGATTGTATCAGTTATGTAGGAGTATATACAGAGAAACAAACGCAGTAGAAGTAATACATAATTTTATGTGGAGATTACTTTTCTTATACTTCATACTTATATAATTTTATGTGGAGATTAACTTTTCTTATACTTCTAAATGGCCTCGGTGTTTAATAATTCTAGCAGATAAACTGCACTCCGAATAATGAGCATGCAATAATTTTTGTATATCATGAGTGCCATTTTATGGCAGAATGCTTTTTCATATCGGCTGAAATGATCTGCTTTGCATGCTAAATCAGAAGTCAATCAAAGCATAGGTAGTTGAACATACCATCGTGAATGTTTTCCCTGTTCCCGTCTGCCCATAAGCAAATATGCATGCGTTATAGCCATCCAGAGCAGACTTAATTATTGGTTCAATTTCTGAAAAGACCTCACCTGCCGTAGCAAAGAAACAATCAGGTTTGTATTTCTCCAGTTAGTCGTTGAACCAGAAAAGTTATCGACGTAATATATAAAAATTTAAGAATCAATTCCTTTTTTTTTTTAAATCTGATTGTGTTAAATTCCATATCTTCAAAGTTTCGTTATTCTTAAAATCAAGAAATGTAGTCTGTTCCTGGATTAATGCATGAAAACGAAAACAATATTTGCTCATTCTTTTAAAAATAGAAATGAGTAATAGCTTACTAAGTTAGCTTTTTGAATCCAATAGGAATATAAGAAAAAAGTTTTTTTTTTCAAAGATCATCCTTTATACCGAGATTAACATTAATCAGTCGATCTTTGTCATCAAAATTGGGTGTATCCTTCCTAGCTAGGGAGTTAAATTCTCCGTCAGTCGCTAAGGTACTTGACTATTTTTGTTAATTCTCTTGCCTCCTATTTGTTGTGGGAGAGAATTCTTGAATCCACATCTTGACTCTACCCAGGACTTATATTATCCGAATACATCATTATCTTATGAATAAGGTCGCGTTTCTGCCTAATACTGGATTCTAACCAATGAGGGCTAAAGTAACATAAGGTTGTGGCTTCTTCTTGAGAATGTGCGTGAACTGTGATTGAGGGTATAACACTTCCTCCAAAATATGCCTATCAGTAGGAAATGGATTTTTGGTGGCTGAAACTATCTCTGTTTCATCTCCCTATCAGAAAAATTGCACTTGATTGAGGGTTGATGGCACACAATGGTTAAAATGTAATGGGCGGGCTTACCATCCACTATGAAGAGCAATATGCTTGTGGCTTTGGATCCTAAAATAATGCTGTCCGCGGGACTCCCTTTGTTGGTGAAGCCTCCCAAACCAAGTCGACCATATTGCAAATGGTAAAGATGTGATCAAAGTTGTTCCCTTAGTTTCTTAAGAGTGTTCATAGAGGTGAGAGTTAGGATTGCTTCTTTGGCCAGATGACATGGCTAAGTGAATTCTCGTTGAAATGTGCTTTGGCATATAACGGTTTCAAGTGTCCGATCATTTTAAAGATTACTTCTCAAAATTGATGGATTTTGGTCCTTTATGCCCTCGACCAGGTGTACCTATTCTACTCATTGGTACATGCATCTACTAAAAATCATCAAATTTAACCATAATTTCATGAGGAGTATCTCACAAGTTCGATAGAGGCCCCATACCCCATCCTACCCCTGCTATTCTTGATAGTGATAATAGTTTATTATAATTTATTGAAAGTCAATTTTTGCATAATGTTGGAGTTGGTGAACAATTAAACCATGAATATATGAATGCTCTTTATGGTAATGGTAATCCAACTATTGATGAAAATGATGATGAAGAAATAGATTTTGATGAAACACAACCGGATGATGATACACCTACTAGTCCTGCTCCTGAAGTTAACCCAACTGATGATAATCTAAATGATGCCCCGTTTGACCCTCATGTTACTACTCATGTTTTTTTAGACAACATTCTAAACGGACAGAAACATCTGTTGTTTGGCCACTTTTTACTCAATTAAGAGAAAAAAATAANAGTCAGGCTGACCTTAGTACCGGGTCAAATCAATTTCAACCGGGAATTAACACTGTTACCAGTGATATTTTATATTATGATCCCAAAAAAAAAATCGGAAAGAATTGGCAAAAATGGTTAATGTTATAGTTTTCCTTCTAACCCTCACTTTGTCCATTATATTAGAAAATTTTAGAATCCTACTTATAAAAGTTTTCCTCGCACAACCGTAAAGAGAGATATTTATAAATATAAACATGAATATGAACAATATTTGCGCTATTTATTTACTCATATAAATTGCCGTGTTGCTATTACAACTGATATTGGTACAAGTGATAATGACTGTGATTACCTTACTGACCTTAACACTGTTACCGGTGATATTTTATATTATGATCCAAAAAAAAATCGGAAAGAATTGGCAAAAATGGTTACTGTTATGTGCTTACCCTATAGTTTTCCTTCTAACCCTCACTTTGTCCATTATATTAGAAAATTTTAGAATCCTACTTATAAAGATTTTCCTCGCACAACCGTAAAGAGAGATATTTATAAATATAAACATGAATATGAACAATATTTGCGCTATTTATTTACTCATATAAATTGTCGTGTTGCTATTATAACTGATATTGGTAGAAGTGGTAATGACTGTGATTACCTTACTGTTACCAGTCATTGGATTGATGAGGAAGGGATAATGCAAAAGCACATTATTGCTTATAGAATAATTAATTAACATCACACATGACAGTTTATTGATGGCACAGTTACAGATATTTGTAGATATTTTTGCATTATTAATAAAATCATGTCAATTTCAATGGATAATGCTACTAGCAACACAAATGATGTAGCTTTGCTCACCACTACACTAAGTCTTGCATTTAGTAACATTTTTCATGTTAGATGTACTTGTCATATTTACCATTTAATTGTGGGTGATAGTATGAGAATTTTAAATATTGAAATTGAAAAGGTTAAAATGACTCTTAATTGGCTTTTTTATTCAAACCGTAGAAGTAGACTTAGAGAATATTTTAAAAGATGCGATAAATTTGGCCTAAGAGAAAGAAAGGTTCCTAAAGCTTGTCCAACTAGATGGAATTACATGTATGAAAGTTTAGTTGTTGTATATGAATATAGAAACCCCATAAACTCAACGTTTAATGCTCATGTAAGTGATGATGATGAGCACCTTACAAATGCAGATTGGGCTAATGTTAAAATATTTGTAGATTTTTTCGAAAAATTTCATTACAAAACAATTTTCTGGGCAATATTATCCTACTATTTCTAACTGTTTAGTTTATATTGCAAAATTTGCAAATTTGTTTGCTCGTTTTTTAGAGGGTGGGGAAATTTATGAACTTGCTATTGATTCTATGAGAAAAAAAGTTTAAAAAATACTTTTTTCCCTATTCCCCCTATTTATGGTGTTGCTGCCTTGTCAAATCCTAGTATGAAATTAGGAGGTTCTCAATTTTGGTATGAAGCTGTTTATAATGGTTTAACACTTGAAGAAGAGGAGTTGTCTAAACTTCCGGAAGCAATAGCCTCAATTAAAATAAATGCACAAACTATTTATAATGCTTATCAAGTTGCATTAGATCAGGCTAGACCAAATGGTTCAACTCCTTCTTCTTCCGATTCTCAATCATCTAAAAGAACTGAGGGAGTAAGATCACTTAGTGTTTGGGCCGGGTCCAGGGATCCTCAAGGTTCTACTACTACTGATTTTTCACAACTAAATGACCTTGAGTTTATTTGTCACAGGGAATTAATGAAGTGAATCCCGACGGCTCCTTTAATATTTTGGAATGGTGAAAGGACAAAGAAAAACACTTTCCGATTCTTTCAAGGATGGCCCGAGACATTTTAACTATTCAAGCTTCAACAGTGGCATCGGAGAGCACTTTCAGTCAAGCAAGACTTCAACTTGGTGATTATAGAGCGTCTATGAGGGAGAGCTTGGAAAAATCAGTACTTTTCAGAGATTGGATCCGTTTGGAAAGAAGAAATTTTGGACTTGCTGAATCACAACCAGAGGTAGACGAAGCTTACGAAGAAATGCTAGCTGAACTCGCGGAGGATTCTGCTTCGCCCCGAAGCGGTGATGACCAAGCTTCTTTTCCGCCATCACCAACGGCAATTCCTCTAGACCTTAATGGATTTATGAAGTTTGTAAGAGATACCATGTAGATTTTTTAGNTAAGAAAGATATTGCCATATTTTTTTAATGCTATAATAAAATTATAACGCATTGCTTTGAATATATCTTTACAATATTTTTGTCTTTATATTTGAATTAAAAATTTAGGTCACAATTCTATAATATAATTTACAAGGAATTGCCTTAGATATTTTTATTACCATTTTTTTTCTAACTTCTATAAAATTTTTAAAAAAAAGAAAGTATCCGTTGGGCCCACTTGAGCCTACTTAGGTCCGGGACCAGCCCACTTAGCCTAGGACCATTAGTTCGTGGGCCCAGTCCCGGACTGGTTCCTACAAAA